CAATGTCATTAAATTGCGATTTTAACAAGGTAAAAAACTCCGCATAGAACTCATTAGGGTCCCAAATATTATTAAAGTTTTGAACACACAATTTACTGGTCAAGGTATTATTTAATTTCTCTAAATTTTTACATGTAATTGGCCTATACCTTATTTGAATTTTTTGTACAGGTATGTAGGCACAAAACGTTATTGTTTGTCCACTGTGATCAGAAGGCAATTTATTAACAATTTCTTTATGTAAGTAATCACAATTACAAAAAATATTATCTATACAAGTGGCAGAAGAAGCTGTCACTCTAGTTGGTTCCATAAAAACATTAGACAGATTAAATGATTTAAAAAGACTTATTAATCTGATACTATTTGAGTTTGTTTCTAATACGTTAATATTAAAATCACCACTTATGATGATTGATTTACTACTAGTACTAAGTTTTTTAACACATCTTCCATTACAGAATCAAATACAGATAGATTCTGATAGCCCGGAGGTCTGTAAACACATACTACAACATGCTTATCGAGCTCGACACAGGACAACTCTATAGAATGTTCAACTGACAATCTGATAATGTCTTTCCTTTCTTTAGATTTAACAGAATTTTTGATTAATATTAATGATCCACCGTGTATCATACACTTCCGGCTGAAATAGCTAACTACACAATAATTTTCATAATTAATAGACATTATCTGATGATCATTTAACCAATGTTCAGTTAAACAAATAATATCGAACTTGGTTTTTCTAAAAACATTTCTATTTCCAGTAATTTGGAAGAGCAACCTTGAATATTCTGATGAAATAATCTTAAAGTATGTTGCTTTCCTTTTGGTTTATTAAAACATGTTAAATTGCCAGAAGATACCTTTTTATTATCCACAAATAATAATTGATTATTTAAACGGTTAACTTCTGTTGTCTTACAGCCTAGTTTAAAGTACTATCCGGAGTGACCTCTACAGTTGTAGAATAACCTAAGGTATGTGTTCCAGCAGGAAGAGTATACTCTATCTGACTGGTATTGGCCTCCAAGTATGTTGGTATTATAGGTGGACCCTCCTTCGTACAACATAAAGATATATTATCAATCACTGTGTTGTTAGTGTAACTAGGCAACACAGTCTCGTCACTAATCCTAGAATTTGTTATATTAGCTATAACCTTGTTAATATTGTATGCTATTAACATAGCAATCAACCGTCTACATTCAAAAGACAGAGATAAAGTTCTCTGAGTTAACTTAGAACCACTAATAAACTTATTAGTGTCAAAATATAATAATTTGTCACTATGACGACATGTCAACATGTGAATAGTATTATTCAATTTAAAAATATGATTATTTTCAACCTCTGACAGAGTATCAGAGTAGGGAAAAGCACATAACATCAGCTTTCCTATGTTTAATTTTAATAAGGTGCTGACACCATCCACTATGTCCTTTTTGGTAATACCAATGCTAATAATAAATATAATATAATTTCACTATATTATACTGCTGTAAGGAATACAATTTTCTAGACAATTCTGAATTATCATAAGTCTCAGAAGGCTCTAAAATTCGCGGTCTAAAACGATTTTAATCGTCAACATCTTTACATAACTGGGCCTGGGTTGATGACCATTCAGAAGCACAAGGATTGTGACTTGGCACCGACTTCCACAAAATGGTCTAACGGGATCGATATGTTATACTAATTGACTAAACGTATAGTACATTATTATTAACCACGCGCTTGGGCCGCCGCCGCGCCGGTACCAGCGCTATGACTATCATTTTTCTTTTTTTCATACTGGTACAAATTACCCACTATTTTGTGTCACTATTTATTTATTTTATTTATTTATTTATTTATGCACCAACAAAGTAAACACTAATACAAGCAATGTAACACAAACACAAACACAAGCCAAGTGCTACCCCAATTATAGGCGCATACAACATTCTAAATTTTTATAAACACATTAAAAGAAGAAAAAATAAAGTTAAGATAAAATAAAATAAAATAAAAACATTACAAAATTAATTGAATTAATTGAATAACCCCATAAAGTCTTAATGAGTAATCAGCTGAGCCGCTAACTTTTTGAAAATTGATGGGGAGTTTGAAAACAGATCTATTTGGGGAATTCACGACCCCCCCATTGCGATCCAATACCACCATCAATTTCAACGCTATGAATTAAATTATAACTCCTTAAAGATCTATTTAATGGAGCATTCTGACCCAGATTTGATTTTGCAAACTTAATTCTGAAAGGAGGCTTTGCAAATCGTTGCAGCTTTTTAGGAACAGAAATGTTTACTCTGGACAAGATATCAGGGGTATCCAAAATTCCATTTATAAGTTTATACAGAAACATGATATCAAGCAGCTCTCTACGATGACGAAGTGATTTAAGGTGAAAATGTAATAGACGATCGTTATAACTAGGAAGTTTCCTAGCCATGTTGCAACCATAGGATAGGTGCCATAAAAATCGCTTCTGTACATTCTCCAAGCGCTTGATATAGATACCGTAATGCGGATTCCACACAGGACTGCAATATTCGAGAATACTACGTACGAGACATGTGTAAATTGTAACATTAGTGCTGGGATTCCTAAATTCCTTACAATTACGCAGGACGAAGCCCAACATCCTAAAAGCCCTATTTGTAATATCATCAACATGCAAGTTAAAACGCAATTTACCATCCAGAATCACACCTAAATCCCGAGTATGGCTGACTTCCTTAAGAAATGCCTGATTTATATGATAGACTCTGGTTGGCGAGCGTTTTTTCCTGCTGAATCGAACAACATGACATTTTTCAGGATTCAAATTAATTCCGTTTAAACTACACCACATTATCAAATTGTCCAGATCATTTTGCAGTGACATTGCTTCCTCGGGTGAGTTCACAGTTCTATATAATTTTAAATCATCAGCGAACATCAAGAATTTAGACCCTTGAACGCAGCTTCCGATGTCGTTAATGAAAATATTAAAGAATAATGGACCTAAGTGTGACCCTTGAGGCACTCCAGATATGGCAGTGAATTCTTTGGATTTGTACCCACCAACTACAACTTCTGACTGCCTATTTGACAGGTATGATCTGCACCAATTTAAAAATATGCCATCAATTCCAATAGAGGAGAGTTTGTGTATCAACATAACATGGCTCACCCTGTCGAAGGCCCTGCTGAAATCGGTGTATATTGCATCATATGATTGCCCACGATCAACCCCCTCAGCAAGATCCTCCACGAAGGAAACCAAATTAGTCGACGTGGAACGTGACTTAGCGAATCCATGCTGTTCAGGTGCGATAAAATGTTTGAAGTGACTCGATATTATTGGGCACAAAATAGATTCAAAAACCTTCGCGAAAGTTGGAAGTATAGATATAGGTCTATAATTTAATACCGCACTCGTGTCACCACTTTTGAACAATGGTATTACAAGAGCACTTTTCCAAACCGTTGGGAATATTCCAGAGTTAAGAGAGCTATTAATAATAATGCTGAGTGGTAGTGCTAGTTCACTAGCACATTTTATCGCAAAAATAGAAGGTATTCCATCGGAACCAGCACCTTTCGAAGGGTCCAGTCTTTTTAAAACTCTGAAAACTTGATCAGTAGTTACCGATATTGAAGTTAAACAATTGGTTGACGAACTAGACTGGCCACTGATCGATATGTTGTCCGAGTTGTATACCGACGAAAAATGTGATGCGAAAAGATTGCAAATGTCTGACCCCGACGAAGCTAAAGACACCTAAAGACATCCGGGCAGGGTAAGAGCTTATCCTTCCTCTTTTTTGCTTGATAAAGCTCCATATAAGTTTTGGATTCGTAGATAATGAAGTCTCTAAGCGTTTTAAATATAATCTATAGCTTAAGTTATGGAGTTTTGTACATCTATCCCGTAGCATTTCAAAAGTAATTAAATCTCGAGGATTTCCGTATTTGCGATATTTGGTGCGATATTTGAATTTTTCGTTGATTACCTTCACCAGTGCCGCGGAGAACCATATTGGATATTTACTAGAACGTGGTTTGGATTTTTGGAACATGTTTAGAAATTATAACTCTAAGAATTTTATAGAACTGTGCTACCATATCGTCAACGCTAGCACAATAGGAAAGGTCACTGTGCCAAGGAATATTATTTAGATCACTTGTAATCTTTTCATAATCTGCTTTATGGAATCGAAACCTGGCTTCTTCATGGGAATTGAGTTTTTCTTTATGAACAATATCAATACAAAATTCAATCGGAGGATGCAGAGGGTCAACACTTGAAAGAGGATCTTTGCTCTCACTTACATGAGAGATTACCATAGAGCTCATTATTAGATCTAGAATTCGGTTTTTGCTGTTAAGGCAATTATTAAATTGTGAAAGATTATTTAACGACATAAAGTCTATAACCATGTTATTTAACATACTATTTGTCGTTATTGGTATTAACGTGGAATTAAGTGTCCCGTTCCAACGTAGGCTACTCATGTTAAAATCACCAAGAACGATGATGTTAGAGCTGAGATTTTCAATAATACAATTGGCGTTATGAATAAAGTGCTTTAAAATATGCTTTTGTACAGGAGGGGGAATATACGCAGCATATATGTACAAAAGATCGATTTCACCCTTACTGTTAACTAGTTCCAGTTTAACCCAGATATCCTCACAGTCTGATTCGTGGGCACAAATACGGTATGACTGTAAGCGCTTGGAAACAGCTATCAATACCCCACCCCCTAGTTTATTGCTGTGAAAACCACTGCTTTCCCGATCGCGCCTATACACAACATAACGATCGTCAAATAATTCATTATCCGATACACTGCTGTTTAACCACGTCTCTGTAAAAACTATTACATCAAAATTACAGCACAAAACATTACTAAACAGTTCAATAGTTTTGGTTTTTAGTCCTCTAACATTTTGATAAAAACAATTTAAGATGCCCTTAGTAAAAAACAATGTCAAATTTAGCGGCATTATGACAACTTATTTACTAAATCAATGTCTTTAACGTAGATATAACTTGACTGCTCATCCTTCCGCATGTATATCCTCGCGTCTCGTACCCAAACGAATTTATATCCAAGTTCTTTGGCTTTAGAACGGGCAGTTGCGTGCAAGCGCTTGTTCTCATGGGTAAGGTGTTCTGCTACATAAATAGCAGCCTTCTTATTAGCACCGATACCCAAATGACTGGTATTCAACTTGTCTTCACGATTGATTTTGTTAAATTTACTAGTTGCTGCTAGAAACTCGTCACGAAGACGTGGGCTGTTAAATTTTACGAGTATTGAACGGGGGCGAGGACTAGAGTTGTTAATCTTAGCTAGTCGGGAGCAGTAGTGAATTTGCGTCTCGCTAATAGGGCACTTGATCACTTTTCCTAGCTGCATTACAGTGTTTATTAAATTTTCCTGTTTATTTTCAGGGACACATTGAATTTCCACGTTTGAAGAACGCACATGCTGATCCATTTGTGCCAGGCGAGAAGATAAAGATATATTGGTAGCTCTTAGTGACTCGGTCTCTGATTTTAGTACTCCGATTATCTTAGTTTGCTCTGCTTGATCGGCCTTCACTTTCTCGAGCTCTGCGTTAAAGTAAGTCATCGACGCCTCGAGGGAAGATACGGCGTTTCGAACCTCTAACATTTCAGGGTGAATTTTGTGCGTAAATAATAATTCAAATTCTTCTCGAATGATATCCCGTATACTGCTGGGCGATATGCAAGAGCAATTTTTTTCAGTGCGAGCCTTCGTGCGCTGTGTGACGAACTCCAGGTGAGGTGATTCAAGGGCAACGCTATTATTACTACGGACAGGGGTGTTTGAATTATCGCCTCCCTTGCGTTCGCGACTTTGACACTGCAAGCAGATCCATTTCGATTTAAGCTCAACAGACATCGCATTATACTCTGGCAGTGAATAGTTTATGCAAAAATGATGATATTCAGCCTTACAGCGTGAGCAATTTAATGATGGAGTGTTTGCTACACTTTTTAGACAGGCGTTACATTTCCTATGGTCGGCCATGTTCTATTTTTTACGTTAAGTTTAGTTTTTATATATTGTAATTGTAATATAATAATCACAAATTAAAATTGTTATCTCCAAAGTCACAACCAGTTGTAAATCCGTGTGCTGTAACTCCATAAAACACACAAGCAACGTACTCACATAAAGATCGCAAGATACCGTCATGCGTTGCACAATAATTTTGCGTTTCTTTGGCTTGTCACTGAACAGTTTCTGTTGATAACACTTCACGCTACACAGTGCCAAAAAATAATTTAATGTATATACTCAAAAAGACTTTTAAATAACTATAAAAATTTAAATTCAATCACAAAATAATTTTCAACATTGACGCGGTACCGACGTCCGCGACCAATCTCCCGGCCTATAAATTCAGTTGTCATATGGAATATTTTTTATGTTTCCTAACCTTGCGTTAAGCTTTTAGCCGAGATATTATTGACTCCGCATGCAATATGGCTACTCCTTTCGAAAGGAAGGCTAATTTAGGGGTTTAACTAAAGTACTGGCTTTTCCATGCAGCGTAAAACCAAATTGACAAAAAAACACAAAAGACAATTTTAATTCAAAGAGTGATTGAGACTGATTTTGTTTATGGATAATAAAACATTAAAGTCTTAACGGCTTTCATGTTTATCATAATTTGTCGTAGATTTTATTTAGTTAGAAGTTGATTATTTTGTATATAATTGCCATTAATAATAATAAAACCGAGTTTTATTTTACTAAACCTTTTTCAAGCACCAGTCTCTCAGTATAATACATAGCTTTAAGCTTATTGTCAAGTTTATTATTAATTAAATTATTATTATTAAATAAGAATACGAAATCACGTAACATTGTCGTTGTCGTTATATATTTTTATAATAATTATTCTACAACACATTCGTTGCATAATTATACTTTGTTAAGATAAACATTTCTATTCTAAGAATAATTTTTTGTATAAAATCCATAATACGATATTTGACTCTATGATTTGAAGGTGCTATTTACAAACGTATCAAGTTAAAAATAACAGGGCAGGAGGCTCACCTGATGGTAAGTGATACTGCCCATACCCATGGACACTCTCAATGCCAGAGGGCTCGTGAGTGCGTTGCCGGCCTTTTAAGAATTGGTACGCTCTTTTCTTGAGGGACCCTAAGTCGAATTGGTTCGGAAATACTTCAGTGGGCAGCTGGTTCCACAAAGTGGTGGTGCGCGGCAAAAACTGCCTTGAAAAAACGCTCTATTGTGGAACGGCGGACGTCAAGGTGATACGAGTGGAATTTCGTAGGTATTCTGCCTCGACGTTCGATGATGAAACTCAACTGCAGGTATTAATCCGAACAACTCCTCTGAACACTCTCCATGGTAAATGCGGTAGAAGATGCATAGCCAAGATACGCAACGCCAAAGGATCAAGCCGCTCGGAGAGGGATTGGTCGTCGACGATTCGAACCGGTTTTCGTTGAATACGGTTTATTTTTTTTCTGTTGCAGATGATAGAGTTTTAGAAGATAACGAAAGTTTCCAAGAAGATGATATGAATGACACCGACAAAGACAGCGACGATGATGATGATTATGAAGATACCTATTTTTTGTGACGTCACTATAGGCTAAAACAACTTGAAAAACTTAATATTAATTATTTATAACTTACATTTAGTAATCAGGACAATTTAAATAGTGTTGATTTTTAAATTTTAATCTAATTTTATATTCCTTTTTATGCTTAAATTTTTTTTAAACTTGCTCTTACTAGAATTATTATTATTATTATATGAACAGTGACAAGTAATTTACTTTTGTAATGGTTCTCTGTCTCATTCTCGACTTATTCTGCAATTGTCTGTCTCGAACTACTAGCATTGTACTGCAATACTTTTCATGACTTTTTCATTTTAATTCAAGGCTTAACAATCGGATTAATGTCTGGCAAATTAATTTTTTTGTTTTTTTTTATATTTAAATAACATAATATTAAAATTACAGACATTATAAAATACTTTGAAATTTTTATTAAAAAAAAACTTAAAATCGCGTCTGGCACATAGTAAGCATTGTCAAAAATGTCTGGCAATAAAAAAAGTATGTCAGGTAGACTAGATTTAAAAACGAAAAATTAAATATTACGCTTCTTAAAATGCTTTTAAAATCCAGGATTATTACCTGGACAGGTAGGATGCGCACTAATGAACGCAATCGCTACCGCCAGCCAGATAGCCAAGTGCAAGAAGGAAGACATATCACAAAATCAGCTGACCTAAAATTCTTTCTTTTCAAACGTTGCTACCTCCCGTACTATGTAATGGTTAAAAATAAAGCGTTGTATAAAAAGGTATTGCGAACAGTAGGCATTCACATAAACTCCCACGCAGCTACTGATCTTTTCACAAACTGTCACTGCGGTTTGCGTAAAGTGTGAGAACTGAAAAAATATATATTCTTAATTTCTAGACTTTAGTTTCATTTGTTCTCTGTGAAAATTGTAAAAATAGTATAAATAAAATATACCTTAATATAAATATCAATTGCATTATTGCACTATTGTATAAAATTGGTAGCTAAATCGTAAGTCGCTAAAGCCGATAAATACAAGGTTTATTTTAATAGGCACGGTAATTCGTACAAACGTAGCCAAACACTGGATAAATACCAAATACACTTAGCACTAGATAGCACTTTCACATCATACGCTTAAACGACACTCGTTTTCACGAAGTGAAGAGACCGCGCGTGTCTGTTAACTGCAGTACACTAGAATACACTAATAAAGTATTGTATGCAAGTAATTGTACTATCCGCTAGCCTCAACATTTTCCATTCACAATAGCTGCAATTTATACAGGGTTTTTAAATATAATGAAATACCAATTATTATTATATTTATATCAAATCTATAGGTTACCAATAGCTTGGCGCAAAGGTTGTATAAAGTAAAATTTTGTCGTATATAAAGTACGATACAGCCATTTTCGTCCAGACAAACGGTATGAGCAGTGCTTTTATTAATTTTTTTCGTATCCTCAACTAATGCTGTCCAGCTGACGCACATCCGACTGAATTACTTTTTCTCTTCATTCCTTCATAATATTTATACGGGTTGCTAACGTCCTTTTTTGTCTTTTAATATCCTACATTTTACTTTTTTATTTGTTATATAAATACTTAATAAACAATCAAAATACCATTTATTCATGTTTACTTATCAAGGTCAGTTAAAAAAATATATATAAAGATTTACTTATATATGATATACCTATCTAGCGTTTTAAAGTCACTTACAGTAATGCCTCATGGTAGGGGTATTTCAGGATGTCTGAATCACCAGCGCCAATTTTTTGTCTAGATAAGAAAATAAATAAATTGAGTCTCAAAATACAAAATATAATAATAAAATATCATCGCTCTTGGCTAAATTTAACAAATTCTCAATTTAACTTTTGTATTAAGTTTCCAGTGGCAAGTTAGGTTGAGGCTTACCTACATAGCTTTTTGTACAAAGCTGTACCATTAAACTGAACAATTACTTACCCATGCTATTAAATGTTACGATGGAAATTAAATCATATTACTCGTGTTATTTTGCTTTTGTTGACACAAAAAAATGTAATTTCTGACAGACTTATTGTTGACATATTTTATCTTCTTTTTGTGATGGACAGTTACACATCCATAGAACACAATTGTTACTGTACATCACTTAATATCGTGATATTTTACTTCTTATCAAGTATTGACATAAAAATATTTAAAAACTAATTAGAACTTATAGACAATTTATGAAATACTGTTTTTTTATATTTTTATTGTTATTTATTAGATCCTTTAAATAAATAAGATCTTAATAATACATTTATTAAAACATCTATAATCTTATACAATAGAATTTATGAATCAAATATCTTTTATAATCATTGTACATCTATAAGGCAATATATTATACTTGTTTATTTGCATTATGGCCAATAATTGAAGCTTTGCCTTCAGGAATAATACTTGGGGATCTTACACAGCCATATTTATAGAAATTTTTGGGAATGTTAAACACGTTTTCAATAGTGGCATATTCAATTCTAATAATCATTATTATTAAAACATCAGTAGATTTGGCCAAAAATAGCTCATTTTTATCTCCTTTATTAATAAATACTTAATCATGTTACACTACTTTAATAAGGTTCTTTTTTTAAATTAATTTATAACTTGACCATGGTCCGTCCATCAGAATAACAGAGTACACAAGGGTTATGTTTAAGAATGGGGTTACCATCTTTTTCAAAGCAATATTTTGGAGTAAGTATGATATATATAAGGCCGAATTTTTATGGACGATGCTTTTTCTCTGGTTTGTGTGCGAATGTGATTTGGCGCCGCGGTCCATTCATGTGAAAGTGTTTAAGCTATCGCGGAATATAGTTAAAAGGAGTATTAAGAATATCCATAGCGCAAAATCACCTCCATCATGAGCATACCCCACATACACACCTTCACATACTTTCCCCTAACTTTTACACCATCACACGACACAGTCAAATTAGGTACCACTTCGGCTGTTGGTATAATGTTTAAAGAGAAAAGGATCACAATGAAGTCGGGACATAGATGTGACATTAAAGTTCTTTTCGATTACTTAATATTTAAATAGGATAATCTTTATACTTAATTGTTGGTACAGAAGAAACATAACTAAATACAATATTTGAATCCAATTGTTGAAACTGGAGCAAATCAATTCCAAGGATGAGGATCATTTAAATTAATCGTCAAATTTGTAAAAACCTTTATTGATTAATTTACGTTTAACGGGAGTTTGGAATTTATTCATTCAGACAAACTGAAAGAGTCCCGAAACTTTCGGCAATACGGTAGGTATTTAAGCGGCATACCCGCCGTTGCCCCCGCACCTGACCAGTCGGACAAAATTCATCAAAAGGGAATGACGTGTCACTGTTATAAAAATTACAAGTTATTATCCTATATTTCGATATTTTATTGATGTATTGTTATTATAATATTATTTTCTAAATAATTGAAAATCATATTTCATATTCCTGTGGCCACTATTTAAACTATTGATGTGTTTAATTAATTAAAGTGAATTGTAGAAAAAAAAGGGTCGGAGCTGAAAATATGGCCACCTACTGGCCATATTTACATTAGGTTTAAGAATAACTTTATTTCTCATAAGAATTGAAAATTCACTTACTGAGAAACACATATTTAAAACTAAGATTAAAAATTAGAGCGCACAGATGTAGGTACATATATAAAATAAGAAAACAGAACAGCACCAAAAATGTGGGTAGACATAAAAAACTTGGTCAGTCAACCAAGCGAAACACGGATGTTAGAATTTAATTTTTTTCTAGATGTGGCATTGATGGCATAGTCTGATATAACAAGTTTATATTGATTATTTTATTATTTTTCATAAGACTATTTTATTTTTAGTTTATTCCTATATTTATATATTTAGGGTATGTACAAGGTTTATAAAACATTTTTACAAATTAAAATCACCTATAGGCAGATTTTGGTCAATATCAAATACAATTCTTTAACACCGTGAGTGGTGTTAGTTTAAAGTTCTTAAACATTATACATTTCAAGTGTTATCGCATTCTTGTCGATATACGAGTATATATATATATATATATAAATATACATATTATATTTTGATCACTTATTTGTATGTAATTAATGTGTAAGTTTTTAGAAGCTTTTTAAATCGGGCATAATTTTGTTCTGCTTTTATAACTGATGGTAACTTATTATAAATTGTAACACCCTCATACTCCAAACTTCTTTTTCCATAGTTAGTTCTAGGAGGGCGGGGCACCAAGTAACTAGCACGTCTTAAGTTAATGTTTCTCGTTTGTTGTTTGGTTAAAAATTTTATATTAGAATTAATTTCCCTAGAATACAAGTGTAATATATGTACGTTTGTTTAATGTTCATTAATTTTGTTTCCTCGTATATCCTTTCAGTAGGCGTCCGAAATTTATAGTTAAATAAGTTTTTAATCAATCTATTCAGAGTTCTTTGGATAGGATCCAAATTACTCTTCGCTGCAGTACCCCAGACCTCAATGAGGTAGTCGACAAACGACAAACAGCACCAAAAATGTGGGTAGACATAAAAAACTTGGTCAGTCAACCAAGCGAAACACGGATGTTAGAATTTAATTTTTTTCTAGATGTGGCATTGATGGCATAGTCTGATATAACAAGTTTATATTGATTATTTTATTATTTTTCATAAGACTATTTTATTTTTAGTTTATTCCTATATTTATATATTTAGGGTATGTACAAGGTTTATAAAACATTTTTACAAATTAAAATCACCTATAGGCAGATTTTGGTCAATATCAAATACAATTCTTTAACACCGTGAGTGGTGTTAGTTTAAAGTTCTTAAACATTATACATTTCAAGTGTTATCGCATTCTTGTCGATATACGAGTATATATATATATATATAAATATACATATTATATTTTGATCACTTATTTGTATGTAATTAATGTGTAAGTTTTTAGAAGCTTTTTAAATCGGGCATAATTTTGTTCTGCTTTTATAACTGATGGTAACTTATTATAAATTGTAACACCCTCATACTCCAAACTTCTTTTTCCATAGTTAGTTCTAGGAGGGCGGGGCACCAAGTAACTAGCACGTCTTAAGTTAATGTTTCTCGTTTGTTGTTTGGTTAAAAATTTTATATTAGAATTAATTTCCCTAGAATACAAGTGTAATATATGTACGTTTGTTTAATGTTCATTAATTTTGTTTCCTCGTATATCCTTTCAGTAGGCGTCCGAAATTTATAGTTAAATAAGTTTTTAATCAATCTATTCAGAGTTCTTTGGATAGGATCCAAATTACTCTTCGCTGCAGTACCCCAGACCTCAATGAGGTAGTCGACATGCGGCTTAACCAGAGAATTATAGATCAAATACCACACTTTTTGAGGGAGACAATTTGTTATGTTTCGCAGTGCCCCTGTGAGTGGTGTTAGTTTAAGTTTAATTTTTTCTAGATGTGGCTTCCAAGTTAGGTTACTATCCAAAATAAGTCCGAGATATTTTTCTTTAGGTTTTCGTTCAAGTATTTTTCCGTCTATTTTAAGTTCGAAATTATTATTTATTTTTTTATTTTTTGCTGCAAAAATAACATAATTTGTTTTTGTAATATTAATAGTTAAAAGATTTGACTGAAACCACTCATTTAACAGATTAAGATCATTTTGAGCGTCGGCTATTAGAGCTTCGATCGAGTTTCCAAAGTAAAAGAGACTTGTGTCGTCTGCATAAAGGGATATGTCACCTTTGAGACCCAAATCACTGATACTGTTAATATAAATGAGGAACATGAGGGGGCCTAATATTGATCCCTGGGGAACGCCCAAATTCAGGATACAGGGATTGCTTTCATATTCACCTATTTTTACTATTTGTTTTCGGTTCTCCATATATGATTTAAAAATTTGAAGTGCTTTGCCTGTAACACCGGTAAGTTTTAGTTTTTGTAATAATTTTTCATGACTAATGGTGTCAAAGGCTTTTTTTAGATCAATAAATATACCTAAGGCAACTTGTTTTTGATCAATTTTATTTTTAATTTTGGTTACGAGGTCAATTGTGGCAGCGAGAGTATTTGATTGGGCTCTAAAGCCATATTGTTTTCGGTAAAAGAAACCTTTTGAATTAAGGAATGACTCTAATTGGTTATAAATAATCTTCTCAAAGACCTTAGAAAGCACTGGGAGAACTGATATAGGGCGATAATTGCACGGGTCAAGTTTACTTCCGGCTTTATGAATTGGTACAACTTTTGCAACCTTTAACTCGTTGGGAAAAATACCTCGTGCCAAATGATAGTTAATACAGACTGTTAGTTCCGTGGCAATAATGTCTTTTACGCATTTAATTGATTTTGTACTAATACCATCAATGCCAGATGCAGTATTACAGTCCAAATTTTTAATTATGGTAATAACTTCTTTCGTAGTTACTGGTTTCAGAAATCGCAATTCTGTTCTATCAGTTAGACTACACTCTTCTAATATTTGAGGTACTTTTGATTTTTTTGAAATCATATTTGCTAGGGTTGAGCCAATAGTCGAAAATATGAGTTAAAACTTTCACATATTTCTTTTTTGTCCGTAATAGTACCAGTTGCCGTTTCAAGTTTGTCTGGTCCAGGTCTGTCATGCACTTTGTTTTTAGCTAAGTCGTTTATAAGTCTCCACATTTTTCGTGGTTTACTAGAATTTTCTTCAAACCTCTTCAGATAATATTCTCTTTTCGCTTTTCTTATATTGTGTGATACTCTAGCTTTTATATGTTCATACTCTGCTTTTAGTTTCGTGTCTACCGCATTTGTTTTATATTTTTGCCATAATATGTTCTTGCTATTTATCTCCTCTAATAGTTCTTTTTTAATCCAGTCTTGCCGCGGAGGATTCAATGTTTTAAATTTTGTGATTCTGCACTTATTTAAACAGAATTTCAGTTTCCCTGCCAATTCATCATACTCTACGTCTTCATGATTTTTAGGATATTCATTCAGGCATCGATAAAGTTTGCTGAAGTCAACTGCGTTGTATTGCTGTTTTATGATAGTTGGTGGTTGGTATTGCTTTATCTCTAAAAGTATTTGTTTGTGGTCAGACATTGAAGATTCCGTAGTGATAAAATGAAAATTATTTTCACTTAAATTACAAGATACATGGTCTAACATTGTCTTGGATGAGGTTGTTTCGCGGGTACAGTGTTTTGGGCTTATTTTGTTCAGGATTTTGTAGTTGTTCTCTTTTAAGGTGTTCTTATATTTGCGTGTCGCTAAGTCCGGGTTGAGGAAGTCCAGGTTGTAATCGCCAAAGACAATTGTTCGTTTCAATTTGTGTAATTGTTGTGAATATATCTCGAGAAAGTTATCCATATTTATTTTATTGGGCTTATAAATGGCACCGATATTTAGAGAGAATTTTTTCACGTATACCCAGAGATAATGAGTATCATCGACGCATTTTTCTTCAACAAGGTGATGTTTGAGATTGTTGTACACAAATATTGACACTCCACCTCCCCTTTTATTTTGTCTATAATTAAAGTAATGGGTATAGGAGGGTATCTGGAGCATTTTTGCCTCATCTTCACTCTTAATCCAAGTTTCCGTTAGTATAATGATATGTATGGTTACTTGTAAAGAAGCGATAATACATCTAAGCTCATCGAATTTTCCAGGTTTGACAATACTGCGAGAGTTGGCATAGAAAAATTTCAGAGATTTTTTTGTAAAAATAATATCCGTGTAATTGTTGGTTGTTTGGTAAGTTATTTTTTCTTTGGACGTCATCAGTTTTTTGGAGTTTCCTTTGTTGTTGTTTCTTGCGTTTCCCTAGATGTAACTATTTTGGGGTGCCCTTGATATATTTGATGTTAAGACCGCTTTCTCCATTTGAGGTACGTTGCTGTAGCTCTTCTTTTAAATTTTGAAGGTATTTCCGTTGGTATGGAGTTTGATCCGAATATATCTTGATATGTTCCTTGTCAATCTTATTCCTATTACGTAGTATGTTTTTTGCTGTGTCTTCAGATGGGAAACATACTTTTATTGCACGATTTTTCTCCGATTTATACTTTCCAAGACGAAATATTCTAGTAGGTTGAGGGCAAGCGTTATGAATCATTTCAGTAATTCGCAGTATTTCTGCCTTATCGTAATCTTGCCGACTTGTTGTAGTATAATTCCGGGATTCAGGAATTCCAGCAACTATGATATTTTTGGCTCGGAGGTTTCGTTCCTCGATTTCGGTGAAGATTTCATTTTGTGTGGCAGTTGTTTGGATAGAAGATGAAGGAGGCATATTTTTTAATATATAGACATCAGATTCAAGAAGCCTCACTTTCTTTTCTGTATTTTCGGCAGCAACAGATAATTTTGAGAGTTGGTCTTTAATTTTTTTATTTTCCAAGATAATATTTTGCATGGTACTGCTAATATTAGCGACGTCAGCTTTTATCGCAGCAACATTTACCGAGAGCTTATTTATACTTTCGGTTTGTTCACTCTTGGACGATTTTAATAAGTCTAGCATTTCAGACATCTGCCTTTTTATTTCAGCAATATCAGACTTGGTCACTTCATTATCGTCGGGTAATTTTCGTTTATTACGTAAAGTGATTTGCGATTTGGCTTCTTTATGTGACTCAGACAAATTCGGAAAAGATCCGCTACGTCCCGCACACATGCCACCTCCAGGCGGTGAGCGTGGTAAGCTCATTGTAGATCTATGTACGAAATTACTCACGTGGGAGTTGCGTGTGCGCCGCCGTCAGGTTCGTACGGTGGGGAAATACAGCGGTAGATATTCCGTCCTTGTTACTCAAGGGGGTGAAGAGCGGTTACCGCTTCGATGACACTATATTTACTTTAAGCTCGCAAACTGTAACGGTGTATGTCACTCGCGCTCGATTTTGCAAGAAGTTGTTGTAGTTAGTCGCCGTAAGGTTCGTAATTGGTTAAAGAACTTTTTGAATTTATTTAAATGAATAGTAACACGTCTGCTCTGTGCGCTCGTTAGACAATAAATTACGACTTTTTTGACCACAAGTTTTGGCTGAACGCCATGAACATCTAGTAGCACCAGAGCATGTCACTGTAGTCTCTTGCGCTAATGCATTAGGCCAGGCTATTCCTCCTATGGTTTTATTTAAAGGGAAAAGGATTAAACCTAATACGTATTGAAAGCATATGAATTAGTTAAAATAAATATTTAATGTATGCACTAACCATGCCTTAATATCCCGTGGCGCGGCTTCACTAAACACCGACACCATATCCAGAAAGTCTTCAAATGTGAGGTTACCAGAACCATCATGAGAGATTCGTCTCTTGAATGGATTTTCCTGCAAATCAATTCTTCCATCGTACAACCATTGTTAAAATAATAAAATCATGTTTTTAGTACTCAGTACTCATTTACACAATTCTCTAATATTCTGATTTAATTTTTCTAGTTTTTGTTTCAACTTGAAGTTTCACTTACTTTTAGTTCAGGCAATTTTTCTATTTCTTCAACTGGTACAAGAATAGTGTGAGCTTGGTTTTCGGTCATGCTCTTAAGAATCAATTCGGGATTTACGTGTCGAAACCGCTTGAAAACTCTAAAAAGATCAACATTAAAATTTACTAAGTTTGTTTTCAAATCATAGAAGAACGGAAGAGAAGAACTGGCAATAAACTCTCCGCCACTCTTTTTAATCGCCAAGTTTTTTGTTTTACACAATATTTGTAAGGAGCTGCAACCATTACACCATGTTCCACATGACGTCTTAAGTAATTAATAGTTAATTAATAATAATAAAAACAAGATTTGTCCTCTATCAGCAGAAAGCATGGTGAAATAGGAGCCCTAAATAGGTTCTTCAAGAAAAGAGCGTAGCAATTTTTAAAAGGTCGGCAGCGCCTTTGCGAGCCTTTTGGAGTGTGAGTATCTATGGGCGGAAGTATCACTTAACATCAGGTGAGCCTCCTGCCCGTTTGCCTCCTGTAACATAAAAAAATATATTTATATAATTATAATATTTTATTTATGTCCCAAGATAATTGATGTGTAATGTACGTATAATTTATTTATTTTTATTTATTTGATCAACGGTATTCCTACAGCTACTTATTAAACAATATTCAAACAATTACACTGTACACAAAAGCCAAGAACGGAATACACATTTAAACATACACAAATCACAGTTTCACCTATACAAATACAAAAAATATACAAAGTATATATATATTTATAATAAATTCTAAAAGGCAGAGATAAAAGAGCCTCTGGGATTTTATTAAAGAAGAGTATCCCTTTTCCCAAAAAAGAATGACTAACTTTAGATAGTCTAGTAGGTACAGGGAAATGGCAGCCTGCGTTTGTTCCGAGTATTAACATTGTGCTATTCTATTCTCCCCGGCAACGTAGCTGAATCAGTGGTATTGGAACGCGAGGCCGAATCGACTCTCACATTCGCCGAGGGAGCCAACCGCGCGTACGCAGGCCATATGACCCTGAAATTCTCACCAGATGCCACAAGCACTATGCAGCACCACAAGCACTACTGTCTGGAGGTCTCCGACAACTGCTCACCCACCGTTGATCATTGTATTATTCGCAGTGCTAGTGTTGGTGAGTATAATTTAATTAATACATTATCTTAGTAATTTCACCATCGCTTAACGGCCTATTAAGGTCCTTAGTTTGACTCCTGATTTTTTTCTAATTGGCAGGAACAGAAAACTTATCTGCTTGCATATAAAGGCAAACGGAAAGTAAACCGAACCAAGATAATATTTTACGATCTAAGGCCGTACTGTACTTCTAACCTAAGTTTTTATAGTTTTATCAAAATGCATATTACCTTAATATTTTTTTAATTAAATTTTATATTTCATTATATGTTTAAGTCCTTGGGTTCATTTGAATGGAGACAAAGGGTGTAAAATATAAAAGCTTATCTGAATATTAACGAATTGCTTTTGTCTGACTTCTATAAAACTTGGAAACAGAACTTAATGAATTTTGCAATTTATAAATTTTTCCATTTAGTATTTAAATATTAGGTAGTAAGAAACGAAATATAATGATAGGGTCGAACCAATGTAAATTATAGTTCATATCAGTTTGTATGATATTTGTAGTTCGTTCATGTTTTAATTGCTTTGTTTTGTTCCATTCTTTATGTATATTTATGTAAGTAATTGTATATCTTATGTAGTACTGCACTTGTTTGAATGGAACTGCCAGATGCCCCCATTTTATTTAACTATTTTAATTGTACTGTTTTTCTTGCAACGAAATATATATAAATACATCTTAGTTATTTGTATGATGTTACGTAAGCGTAAGGTTGTATAGAAATATAACGTTGAGTTCTTATTTTCCTAAATGCGCACTTAAATCGCCATGTACTTGTCCGTAAATTTTTGCTTCAATCAGCAAAATTTTAGTAATTAAGGTAAAACAATGGTTACGACGTAATTTATCTACGGCGAAAGTAGTCACGATCTTAGGTTTATAGGTCCGAAGAATCATGTTCTTTTGTGTACGTTGATACTTTTTCCAACATAGTTATTTAGAATCACGTTATTATTTCTGTTATTGCAATTTTATGAACAAGCTTCCACGAAGTGATAGCTAAAACCGTAAATTAAACTATCCTGCTGTTTTGTTCTAGAAATTTCTTAAAACGTGACAAGCCGACCAAAACAACGATATTTTGTTCACGCAAAACGTTTGTCCATCGTTTCATAAAAATACTAATTTATGATATATCTAATAAAATAAATAAATCAGTGGCGCTACGACCTCTTTAGGTATTGGCCTCAGATTTCTGAATCTGTTTCATGATCATTTTTAAATCTAATAGGAAAGTAGGTGATCAGCCTCCAGTGCCTGACATACGCCGTCGACTTTTTGGGTCTACGACATGTCGGTTTCCTCACGATGTTTTCCTTCATCGTTCGAGCAAATATTAAATGCGCACATAGAAAGAAAATCCATTGGTGCACAGCTGGGGATCGAACCTACGACCTCAGATATTTGAGTCGCACGCTGAAGCCACTAGGCCAACACTGCTCTATATCTAGTATATAGCCGACTATATACTATACTACTTACTACTTGTAGGTCAGACAACGTTATCGGTGGGAAGGAGTGGCAGGCAGTGGGACACTTTAGTCGTATCACGTAAAATGCTGGGTCATAAATAATTTTTCTTATGTAAACTTGATTTTATTCAAAGAATCTTTTTAATTAGTCATATAATTTTAGGTGCACTTGACGAAGCCATGATGCAGGCGCTTGAACACGACAGGTTAGATTTCGTGAAGTTGCTTCTGGAAAAATTTATCATTAAATTATAATTTAATATGATTTTTATATTTCTCAAATATGCAGTTACAACTTCCTTGTACGCCATGATATTGGGTCTTCAAAAGACGTGTCCCAGGCTCAAAAGGCTTTCTAAATAAAAAAAATATCCAGGAATAAATGGGTTCACATATTGACAGTGCGGTCTTCGGGACTCCAACAATGGGCTGACGGCGCGACGTGGACTTGGGGAGTCCGTGCCTCCGGGTGGAACTAGCGACATTGTAGCTCTGAAAATTTTTAGATTTTCAAGAGGGTACGACAGAGGTTTTTATTAGAGAATTTGGGTTTACTGGAGGCAATCACTTATTAGCGATTGGGCCGTTGCAGTGTTTAATTTTTTTTCGAAGTTGTATTGTGTCATAATTTTCGGTGCTCGTGTAGTTGAGAAATAAAATTAAAATATCACGACGCTACCATTTCAAACTCAATAACTAATTCTGTACTTAGTTAAAACATTTTAGTTCAAGAAATGTTAAAGCAAATTTTAATTGAAGTTCTATTGACAGCCATTGGATCAGTCTTTGTCTGCACAAAAGGTAGCGTGGCAGAGCAGGCGGAAAATATTAAACGGCTTAAAGAGTCCAACTTTGATTTTGTTCCCTTTGGAGTCTCTTGTGTACAAGGCTCTTATTAAAAAAATAAATTGGCGCCTGGTAGATAGAACCTGTGACCCCAGAGCTGGTGCTTTCCTCGCTCAACGAATAAGTATCGCAATACACGGAAAAATGCTGTCAGCATTAAAGGTACGGCCACAGGAACCAAGCTTTTGAAATTTGGTTTTAGTTTTCTATTTTTAATTATTAGTACTATGTAGGGTAAAAAAATAGTAAATTCTCAATTTTTATTTTTATATATGAATTAATTACAATAAAGAATACGTAGTAGGTACATCAATATTAACATAATCATAATATTTATTTAAAATTACACCCTTACCCACTACACACACTTAACTCATACACCTTTTTATGTTTAAATATTTCATTAAGTAGCTTAAATAAAACGTTATAATTATATGTACCCCAATGATAATACTGCCTTTAAATTGTTTAGTTGCCTATTTTTATTATTAAAATAAACGGCAATAGAGTAGCTGTGTATGTGTGTAAGTCCTATAAACAGTCAGTAGGGCAGTGGTACACATTTCTGAGTCTTCTGCTGACTTTTTTTATCATAAGCCTCGAGAGATTTACTCGAGATTAAAATCATGGAATAGATTATTCTTGGTATAGTTACTCGTGTATAAATTGAAGTTTGGTCGAATCGACCCTTAGTATGCAAATGCAAAGCTTAAAAGTCACTCCTGAATTGAAATTGGCCTTTCGAGGAAACGAAAGGCTGGATGGATGATACTTATTGTTAGGAATTATTTATCTAAATATCCATAACGGGTTCTGAGATCTAATCGGGAGTCTCGGGGACCTTGATTGGAACACCTCCAAGTGATTTTAGCTGCCGGAAATGCGTCAAAGTATTTTAAAGTTTTTTTTTAAAGTTTTTAATACTTTACGATTACGATTAGAATGATTTCATAAAATTACTTTCTTTAACTTAAACCTTTACATTAGACAGGCTGATACAAGTTAATTAAGATCTAAAATTATATTTATGTAACTCTGACCAAAATGAATGACATTCCGATCTTAGGATATAAATTGTCTACGTGAATGTACCAAGTACGAGTATTATGTACTCGACAGTACCTGCCGCCTCAAAATTCGTAAACCATGCTTATCAGATGTCGTGCGGTAACCTTTCATTGTACGACCTTACGGTTCATTCCAGACTCTCATTACCCTTACCCAAATCATAGTCGGCGGCTTAGGATTCCTTCTAATAAAAATATTCATATTTTTGATACATTTATGAACATACTTCGTTAAAAACTGTTTAATTAATAACCAACCACGATTGGTGTAAAAGGGCTAGAAATATTATGTAATCTTAATATATAAAACAAAGTCGATAAAAGTCGTGTCGTTTTTTTATTTGTAGTATATGTCTCAAAACATTGGAAAGTAAAGTAAAAAAGAATTCAATACAAAACGTTCATTGGTTTCGTAACTGTCACGTTAGGCGGTACGAAGTTCGCCGGGTCAACTAGTTAAGACCAAATGTATAAGCGTACGGTGTCGATCTGAACCACCGCCGCTATTCTCGAAATGAAACTCGGAGTGGAGTTATAATTGTTACCGTTTATTGGTCGAACGTTAGTGATGGTGACACAAAATAATACAGCGAAGCGAGCTTATAACTAACGTCCGTCCGGCACGGCTGCGTAAATCTATCTGGTCGTTATACAAATAATAGCTTAAAATTAAACCTAAAACTACCATGCTGGTCAAAGGGACCGACCGGCCCTTCCGCTACCTGCGTCCCGCCGACCGTTTCCTAGAAGAACATCTGGCTGGCAGCTTCGTTCGTCGGCTTTCTAAACTGTATTGTTCGTTGTCCGTAACAGTCTCCCCTCAGCGAAACCTTCCTATGACGTGAAGCTTTCCGTAGGTAGGACAACGAAAATTCATCTGCTAATGCTTGCGCCGTTTTCCACGTTCTTTTGGTAACGTGTTTCAACGCAACTATCTCAATATGTACATCTCTAGTACTTAGGCACGTAAAAATCGCGCCCCATGGCTTTTCATTACGGCGTCCTTTTGTAAGCGTATGACGCCAATCCAATAGAATGGGATTCCTTGTCACCTCTGTTATCTGTATTTTTAATCGCACACGTACACGCAGTAACCGATCGCTTACGCTTAATCGGCCACTATGATCTTTAAGCTTACGTTTAAATAGTTGTACGTAAGCTGTGGCTCTAATCAGCCGTTCATACTGCGAGAATTTTTCTATATCTGTATCGTTTCTGTTGGCTCTCCTTACGACTACGGTCAAAGTCAGCGCTTGTGGCTCGAAGCTTGCTATTGGCCATGTTTCTTCAGGGCCGTAAAGGAACGCTGGGCCTACGAATGGTGGATGCCTCGCTTTGTCATTTCTGATCCACTGCAATACCATCGTTGAATCCATCCATAGCACGATCTTGTTTGGTTCAATTCTGTGACCTTCTCTAATGGCCACAGCTAATCTCGCTCCGATAAGGGCTGCCTGTAGTTCTAGCCGCGGTATACTCTGTGACTTAATAGGGGCCACCCGTGCTTTTGCTGTGATGAGTCTGACGTCAATTACATCGGTTCCAATTCGCCAATATGCCACGCTCGCATGTGCTTGTTCAGATGCGTCACAGAATACATGCAATTGTAGCTCAGCTCCCCTCGTGTAATTATACCATCTAGGTATCTTCAGTGTTTTTACATTTTCTAACTGACACAACCACTGTTTAAACTCCGAAGCTTGGTCAGTAGGAATTTCTTCATCCCATCCTGTCTTCAATCTCCATAACTGTTGTAGAATTATTTTCGCCGTTACGGTATAATAACTTATTAACCCTAACGGATCAAAAACTGACATAACGGCTCCTAAAGCTTCTCTTTTAGTCGGCTGCCTAATTCCTTGCTTCACATCTTGAGGAACTCTATGAAGGCTTGTGTTAAAGGAAAGTACGTCTTCTGCGGCCTCCCAAATTATTCCTAATGTCTTCTCATAATACAAGGGTGTGGTTCCCAACTCTTTGGGGCTTGTAGAGCGAAGCTCAGGAGGCGTAGCTTCCACTATCCTGTGTGAGTTTGAATTCCATCCAGCCAATGTAAACCCAGCATAGATATGAACTTCAATCACTTCTTGCATTGTTTTTATGGCTTCGTCTTCGGTATCAAAGCTATCTACGTAGTCATCCATATAATGATTTTTTGTTATAGCGTTATAAGCGTTCGGATGTGTAGTACGGTAGCACGAAGCGTTGTAATCCCTTACGCTGTGTGCTAGAAATGGCGAGCTCTTAGCGCCAAATATCAATGAAGTCATAACGTATTCTTTAGGGGGCTTATCTCGGTTTTCACCCCGCCATAGAAACTTTTGAGCAGCTTGATCGTCTTCGTTTACTTTAATCTGCAGGAACATTTCTCTAATGTCGGCTGTTGTCGCGTATTTTCTCTCGCGAAACATAAATAATATACCAGGCAATGATTGCAATAAGTCTGGCCCATCTAGCAGCTCATCGTTCAAGCACACTTCATTTGATCTTGCCGCTGCATCAAATACTAGACGAACTTTGCCCGGTTTATTAGGGTTGGTTACAGCAAAATGAGGTAAGTACCACTCTTTTGATGTCAATATTCTGGTTCTTTCAACAGGGCGGGCGTAATTCTTCTCCAACAGGTTATTTATTTGTTTTGTATATGACTGTTTAAATTCATACGACTGATCCATTTTCCGTTCAATGCTTTTAAGCCGCTTAAATGCCATATTATAGCTTTCTGGGAATTTCGTGTTATCAGTCTTCCACGGCAACCCCAGGTAGTAACGCCTTTCCCGTTTCTCTATTGTTGTATTGAACAATTGAACTGCACGTGCGTCGGCACTTGTTAACCTTTTTTTATTATTTATACCCAAGGCATCTATTGCAAAACTTTGTTTTAATATCGCCTCTAGACGCTCATCTATTGTTTCTTTGTAAACGTCGCTTTCTGCCGCCTTTTTTATGCAGTGCAAAACACGTTCGTTGTCTTCCATTAAACTTCGTATAGGTGCTGTACCATGTAAAATCCAGCCTAATCGGGTTAAAGATGCAGCCGGTTCATTTTTCTTCCCACTGTATACTTTTCTGGAAACGATGAGATGCCAATTGTCAGCTCCAATTAACAATTGTGGTTTAGCTTCGCCAATCATTTGTTGGAGTGGTAACTTAACCAAATGTTTGTAGCGCAAATTATCCGCGCTAATTCTTTGGCTACCAATATCGAAATCACGCATCGTTCGCGCTTTCAAAGTGTAATTAGCCCCTCCGTCGTAGCGACTGATGTCAATTTTGACGTGTTGGCTCTCAAAATCTTTCGTTTGAGAACTAACTCCTTGAATTTTCAGCGGCTTGCTTGGCCCGCTCACACCTAATTCGTGGGCTAACTTTTCCGCGATAATTGTAATAGTCGAACCTTCGTCCAGTAGGGCATGAGTTTTTACGATCTTTCCATCTCGGCCTCTCACAGTTACGGGACATACTTTAAGTAGGACGGCTTGACATTCATCCTTTGCAGTCACAGAGGTCGACATAACAACTTCAGCCTCTGAGTTAGATGTTGATGGTTGCACCAACAATGGTTG